GCCCAGGGTGGTGGCTCAGGCCTGGGATCTCAGCAGACCAGAAAATGAGGAAGATAGGGCACCACTTTAAAGCCTAAAGTCAGCCCAGATAGACAGCAAGCTCTAGCATAGACTAGAGAGTAACTCTGTCTCAACAAAGAGTGGATGGCAGTTAGAAAACAGACGGCTTGAATCAATCCTCTACTTTCTGTATTTCCATGTTCCTACCCCTTCAGCAAATCTGACTTTCTCCCTTATTATATGACCTACTTGTCCACCAATTGTCAATTTAGGGTATAAAGGCATGATCTTCCTTTAAAAAACAAACAAAAAACCCTCCCCTACCAGCTGGCAAATAGCTTCCTACAGCATTTGGGAAACTAATCAAATTCTATTGCAATGTTTCTTTATATTTATTGTTGTTATATTTGGAGTAGGGCTCCCTTGTTATCATAAGCTGGCATGGAACTCATGACCCTCTTGTTTTAGCCTCAATTCCAGTATCACAGATGTCAAATACTATGCTAAGCTTGAACTCATGGTTTACAATTTATTCACTACTTTGCTAATATAAACACTCCCTTCAACAGTTTGGTAATATACCTCAGTAGTAAACACTCACAGAGCATGCAGGAGAGCTTAAGTTCATTTCCCAACACTGCAAATAATAAACAAAACACTGTCTCTAGGTACTAAATATGGGGATACATGTCTCTAACACTCAAGCTGTAAAGCAGGAGGGATCACCAGTTCAAGGCCAGACAGAGGGTCTCCATCTCAAAAAAAAAAAAAAGAAAAAGAAAAGCAGAAAAGAAAAAAAGAAAAGGATGTAGTTATGTAGTTAGTACTCAGCTAGCATGAACAAGATCTTAAATTCAATCTCTAACACCACAAAAATCAAACAGCAAAAATCCACTCTCAAGGTATCAATGTGGTACACACCTCTAATTTCAGAACTATGGAGACCAAAACAGGAGGATCAGAAAAAGTTTCGAGGCCAGACTGGATATGGCTGGTCTGAATGAGGACGCCTCCCTAAATTCCCCCATAAGCTCATACATTTGAATGTTTGGGTCCCAGTTGGTAAACTATTTATGAAGGATTAGGAGGGGTGGCCTTGTTAGAGGTGTGGAATGGTTTTTTAGGTATCAAAAGTCCAAGTAAGTCCCAGTGTCTCTCTCTTTCTGCCGTATGGTTGTGGACCAGGATGTAAGCTTTCAGCTACTGTTCCATTGCATGCCTGCCTGCCAGCCACCACGCTTTCCAACATGATAATCATGGACTAACCCTCTGAAACTATAACAAGCCCCCAATTAAAAGCTTTCCTGGTCATGGTGTCTCTTTACAGCAATAAAACAGTGACTAAGAAACTGGGCTATATGGTGATAATGTCAGAAGAACCAAACCAAATCAAACCAAACCACTCCATAACAGACTGATTCAAGCACACAATGCTACTATGAATGTGGCTCAAGTGGTAGAGCATTGCCGAGCGCTCAAGAGGCCCTAGGTTCAAGCCCCAGCAAACGGAAAACCACAAAATGCCTATTATTAACTGTTACTCAAATCCCCTCATGTGAAGTTACATATCCAGTATAAGAAATCCTCTGGTGGCACAGGCTTGTAGTCCAGTACTCAGGAGGCAAAGGCAAGAGGATCTCAGCAAATTCAAATCCAGTGTGATCTACAGAGTTCTAGGACAGCCATAGATAGCAACAGAGTGAGAGACCCTGTCTCAAAAATACCAAAAAAAAAAAAAAAAAGAAAAAAAAGAAAAAGAAACCCTCCGAATGTAATCCTCTAATTCCAAAGTACCAAAAATCTATCTGTATATCCTAGAAATCAAAGACATTCTAGATAAAGTAGCTAAAGTATCCCTTCTCACAAGTGAGATCACACCGGAATTTTTAAATTAAAAAATGGTCATGCAGGAAACATCAAGTGAAAAAAACTTGGTTGCACTAGGAACCTACCTCCTTATAGTCTCCATTTCTGTTAAGTCGATAGCCCTCAGGAGTATGGAGCTGCACAGTTGTATTATTAACTACTTCTACACAGCACTCTTGATCAGGACAACTCAGTGGGCGCACCCTACAGTACACCTGGAAAAAGAGAAAGGTGTTTAAACAAGGTTGACTTTTTGCTCGATTTCCTTTTTGGTTTTTCTGTTTGTTTTGTTTGTTGAGACAGGGTTCTTACTCTGTAGCCCAAGTTGGCCTGGAACTCTCAGCAATCTGCCTGCCTGGTACTGAAGGCATGAGCCACCTTGAATGTTCAGCCCTCACTAGATTTTCTATTTAAGCTTTCTGCTCATTCATCTACAAATATCTGATCTTCCACGCAAAAATAAACACAGAATCATGAAAAAATAAAATCTGCAGCTCAGAATGTTCAAATGCAAAGATGCAGTAAATCAAAATAAATTTAGGTTAAAATATTAAACTGTACAGTTTCTCTTCACTCTTGTGCTCAAATAAAATTGTACCAACATAAAAATCTTTCTGAGCCGGGCGTTGGTGGCGCACGCCTTTAATCCCAGCACTCGGGAGGCAGAGGCAGGCGGATCTCTGTAAGTTCGAGGCTGGGCTGGACCGATAGCCTCCAAAACAATACAGAGAAACCCTGTCTCATAAAAACCAAAAAAAAAAAAAAAAAAACCTCTGAAATGCCTGAAAAGACTATTAAATTCTTTAGAATTGGATGTCATTCCAAACAGCCCAGGTGGGCATGGTAACACACATCTGTAATCATAGCACTTGGGAGGGGGGGAAAGCTCACATAGGAAGACCTTGCCCAGGTGTATAAGTGAGCAACAGAGACCCTCTGCAATGGTAGTGGGGGGGTGTTCAGAACACTGCAGAGCAAGCAATCCTTCTCAGGAGGTGGTTATGAACTATCCTATCCTGAGTTATTCTACACAAGTCTCTATGAACCTTGAGTAAGGGGTTCTCCTTGACACTGGGTCACTTACCACATACAAAGGACTAAGACCTGAGAAAAAGTTCCCATCCCAAAGTGTAGAACCTGGTAGGAGTTTCTACATTTAACTTTTCAAATTCTAATTAGTGACAGCCAGTTTGGGGTCAACAACCAAAGACTTCCTTTTTCTGGGCTAATCCTGTAGAGAAAGCAAACCTCAAGGCTAAAGCCAGCTTCATTCAATTTAACTGTGCGTTCTTTAAGGCAACTTTCATATTATCATCCCCCCACCTTAAAACACAAGACAGAAACACACACACGCCGGGCGTTGGTGGCGCACGCCTTTAATCCCAGCACTTGGGAGGCAGAGGCAGGCGGATCTCTGCGAGTTCGAGGCCAGCCTGGTCTACAAAAGCTAGTTCCAGGACAGCCTCCAAAGCCACAGAGAAACCCTGTCTCGAAAAACCAAAAAAGAAAAAAAAGAAACACACACACACACACACATCTTACCCCAACTGGATCTTTAAGGTTTGTCTGAGATCCTTTTTTTAATACAGGTTTCCTGGGCACCTTAGCTTTCCTGGTTTAAAAAAAAGGACAAATTTCTATTCAATACTAACATACATGACTTTACAAATTCTAACAATGGTAATCTAAGTCATTAAATTGCGATTGGGAAAATACACTTTTGATACCAGAAATACTCAGGGGGACTTTTGTTTGGCTTAATTTTTTTCTTTCAAAGCTGAAGAGCAAATTCAGAGATCTGCTCATGCTGGGCAGGTGCTCTACCAGCAAGATACATGCCGAGTCTCCTAATTTATCAGTTCCTTATTTAAAAACTGGTATATTTTCTTGAGCAACAATTTTACAGTCACTACAAAGTTGAAAGGTCAACATTTAACTTTATACTGGTGCACAATCATAAAAATGCTAACCGCAGGGTGGTAGCGCCACCACCGCGGGGCTGAGAAATCTGTCCTTTAGCCCATCCCCCAAGCAGGGTTCCAAACAGAAAAGGTCTTGCTTATTTTAAGTAAACAACAGAGAAAAAATACTTTAATTTATTTCAACATTATCCTATGAATTTTTTCCTTTCTCATTTGTAGGTTACGGGAATATTTAACACTAAAATCAAAGAATGGTTTGGACTGTAGATCAAACTATTTTTCTCAATATAGTCACACAAAATAGACGAAAACCAGAGTTGGGCGATATACTGGGGTAGGCGCCCTTGAGTAAATACAAAGACTGACGTTTTCTCACTTAAATTCCGTTTTCGGGAAAGGCTAGCTCCTTCGCAGTGCAAGCGTAACCAGGATAAAGGCCCTCCCGAGTGTCGAGGAATTATTGAGGAATGTGGGCGTGGAAGACAGAGTAGGCGAGTGGGATGGCCTGGGGACAAAGATAGCGCAAAGTACCTGAGCTGCAGAAGGAACCTGGCCTCAAGGCTAGCACAGGGAAGGGATGCCCGTGGAGCGGCGGGGACTGAACTCGCCCAAGTGCCAGCGCACACCCCCGGCTGCGCGCGCACCCGGGGTCCTTACACCCACCACCTGCACCGCGGGACCGGTGGAAGGGAGCAGAGGAAGAAAGGGCAGCCCAAAGGATGGCAACCCGGGCAGCCCGAGGCGGTGGTGGCAGACAGACCCGAATTCGGAGCAGCCTTATCGGGATGAGTGTGGCATGGGCACACCGCAGTCAGCGGGCACCGGAGTGCCCTGGCGCGGAGGTCCGGCCTCTACGTCCGGGCTCAGCTCCCGGAGAGCCCCGGGCCGCAGCGTGAGGAGGGCAGCGACCCCCGGCCGGTCACCAGTCCCCTCCGAGGCTTGGTACTCACGCTGTCTTCATGACGGCAGGCTCTGTGCTACCCAGACACGCGCTGCGGACGAAGGCCTCCGACCCGAGTAGAGCTGGCGGGGACTGAAGGCTGCACACAGCGGCCGCGGGGATCCACACTCGGTTTGAGGAGACCTCACCCGCGACGCTGCAGAGATAAGAGTGCGCCCGCCCGGCGCATTTCAAACAGGCCAATCAGGGGCCGCCTGCGGCGAAAGGGCGGGGCCTCGGGGAGCACCGGCGCTGCCAGCAGGGGCGCTTGTCTCCTTGGCAACCCGGGGGAAACAACCTGAGTCAGGAGAGGGTAGCGCGCGGGAGAAAAACCGTGAGGGGAAATCCCGGCCCTTCCGTTCTGACGCAGAGACTGCGGTCTCCCTGCCTTTGTCTGGAGAACCTCAAAGAAAGTAAAGTTCCTGCCGGGAATATTCTACTCTCAGGCTGGCTGGTTGGTTTCCAGTTCACCATACCATCTTAGTCAGTATACTGTATTTTATATTTATTTTCCTTTTATATTTACTAATAAGTTTACATTTTACTTTACTTTTGATATTTATTGTGTTACTTTGAGACAAGGGTCTTATGAAGTCCACGTTGGCCTCAAACTTGAGGGCAAGTATGGAAAAGAGGGCAAAGTGCAAAGTCTACCTGGGAGACATCTTTCTTATTTATTGAAGTGTGTGTGTGTGTGTGTGTGTGTGTGTGTGTGTGTGTGTGTGTGTGTGTGTGTGTGTGTAGAAAAGAGGAAGAAAGAAAGAAAAGGAGAGAGTTGTGGGTTTTTTTGGCTTTTTTTTTTTTTGAGACATGGTTTCTGTATGTAACTCTGGCTGTCTGGCTGTCCTGGAGCTTGCTTTGAGGACCAGGCTGGCCTTGAACTCACTGAGATCCACCTGCCTCTGTCTCCCAAGTGCTGGGATTAAAGGCATTCTCCACCACTGCCAAGCTTGAAAAATATTTTTATATAATATATTCTGATTACACTTTTCCCCTCCCATAACTCTTCCCAGATCCTCATGAGCTCCCTACCCACCCATTTCCATGCCCTTTCTTTCTTTTTCTTCCTTCCTTCCTTCCTTCTTTCCTTCCTTCCTTCCTTCCTTTCGAAAACAAACAGATGCTGGACATCTGCACTCATCAGGCAGAGGCAGGTTGATCTCTGTGATCTCTCAACCTGGTCTACATAGCAAGTTCCAGGACAGGCTCCAGAGCTACACAAAGAAACGCTGTCTCGAAAAAGCAAACAAACAAAAACCCAAGAAACTCACACAGAAATACACAAAACTGAAGACATCCTATTTAAGAGCAAACGTTCTAAAGTCTCTCACTCTCTGCACATTGTCCAGCTGTGGTCTCTGTATTTGTTCCCATCTGCTACAGGAGGAAGCTTCTCTGACGATGGCTGGGTGAGACACTGAGGGATCATTTTATTGCTAAGTTCCTTTAGCAGAATAGTAGTATTTGGTTTTTCCTTAGGCCCATGTCCTATCCAGCCTCAGGTTCTTGGCCACCCAAACAGTGTCAGGCATGGGTTCCACTTGTGGAGTGGATCTTAACTGGGAGGCTTTTGTTTTTAAGTCCGATTTGGGGTTAAAGAGATAGCTTAGTAATTAAGGGTGATTGCTGCTATTTCAGGTGATCCAAATTCGGTTCCTTGCACCTACTTCAGGCTGCTTACAACCACCTGTAAATAACAGCTTCAGGGTATCCAACACCCTTCCTGTTCTCCAAGAGTACCTGTATTCACATGCATATACCTAATTAAAATACAAAAATAAAAGGTGGTGGTGCCCACCTTTAATCCCAGCACTTGGAAGGCAGAAGCAGCCTGGTCTACAGTGCTAGTTCCAGGATAACTAGGGCTGTTACACAGAGAAGCTCTGTCAGAAAACATATATATTTTATGAGAGTTTGCCTACATGTATGTCTATACACTGTGTGTGCAATACCTGAAGAAGCCAGAGAGGGCATCAGGTCCCTTAGAACTAGAATTAGAGACATGTGGGTGCTGGGTACTTAATTTAGGTCCTTTGATAAGAGCAGTAACTGCTTTTAACTACTGAAGCATCTCTCCAGCTGTCTAAAATTAAACCTTTTTTGTTTCTTAGATTTGAGGTGTTGGCAATGGAGGCAGTAGACTGCTTGCTCACCATACACAAAGCCTTGGGTTCCACCCCGAGCACCACATAACCTGGTTCTCATGGTGCATGCCTATAATCTGAGGATTTAGGAGGTGGAGACAGGGATCAGAGAAATTTGTGTTCATTCTCAGCTCTAAAGTCTGTTCAAGGCCAGCCTGGGCTACAAGAGAATGTCTTTTAAAAAAAAAATTCAGGCTGCTAGCCCTTGGGAGGCAGGAGCAGGTGGATCTCTCTAAGTTCAAGGCCACCCTGGTTCACATAGCAAGTTCCAGGATAGCCACAACTACAAAGAAAGACACTGTCTTAAAAAAAAAAAAGAGGGGGGTTTTCAAATCTGAGGTATAATTTCTCTCTCCCTAAAGTATCCCATGCTATTCCTTAGTCATCAGTGCCGACTCCATTCCCTTGGCAAATGCTTGTCTGATTCCCTTTCCTGATGTTTGACTTTCTGGTCTCCTCTTTCACTCAGCATAAGGTCTTGAAATTTATCTTTACATTTCATGTTTCATTTATACCATTTTATTGCCAAATAGCCTGAATAGCACTGTATTGTATGAAAGCTTGAAGGTTCATCCATTCATTAGCTGGTGGGAATTTAACTTGTCCCTCATTTTTTGGCAATTATAAATGAAACAGCTGTAAGCCTGTATATATGCATGTGTATTCATGCACGGGCGCACGCACTCGCAGACACACACACACACACACACACACACACACACACTTTTCTTTCTCTTGGGTAGGACTATGGGCCTTGTGGCAGTTGTAGCTTTAATTTCTAGACAAGAAAGGTCTTATGCAAATAGTTGAAAGGGGCCGGCACTACAGATGCTTAAAACTATACTTTGTTCCAAATGCACAGAGTGATGGTTAATCTACAAGTAGCTAAGACACCCAGATGAGCAAGCCCAGCTGTGGGAAACTATGGACACCAATAAAGAACAACTCCTGAAGCTCAGGGTATTTGAGAAGAAGAGATAAAATGGAGACAGGGCTGTTTTGCAGCTGGCACCCATTCAACACACTTCAGTCACCCTGAGTGGCTATTAATAAAGTCCTATTGGAAACACTGGCTCAGGTACCCAGGCAGGTGTACATCTTTAGGTGTTTATCTTTTACATACTATAGAAACAAGAAATTGATCAGGTGGAGGGGCCTATAAAATAAACCCAGTCGTTTTTTTTTTTTTTTTTTTTTTTTTTGGTTTTTCGAGACAGGGTTTCTCTGTGGCTTTGGAGGCTGTCTTGGAACTCGCTTGGTAGTCCAGGCAGGTCTCGAACTCTCAGAGATCCTCCTGCCTCTGCCTCCCGAGTGCTGGGATTAAAGGCGTGCACCACCAACGCCCGGCTATAAACCCAGTCTTGCAAGTCACATTTCAAAGGAGTAGCGTCCACAGAAAGTAAAAGTAACTGTCCCAGCATTTTGGACTTTGTAGGCTACTACCCCAAGCTCCAGACATAAGGAAACTGAAACACAGCAAAGTTGCGAGGACGCCCTGTTCTCACCCTGGCATGGCTTAGTAATTATGGAGCAACACGCCAAACACTCAAGGACTGAGCAAGTCAGAAAAGCCATCGTGGCTAGGTGGCTAATGGGAGTGGGTCTCCCATTGCTGCAGGAGGGGCTTTAAACATCAGAAGATACAACATGTTTTTGAATCTGAAATTATGTTGTTGTTTTTAAGTAGGACTGGGGCTAATGAGATGATTACACTAGTAAAGATGCTTGACCCAAGTCTGATGACTGTTGGGTCCGGAGGCACAAATAATGGGGGACAGGCCACCAACGTCTGATAGAGAAGCAAACTTTATTTAAAAAAAAAAATCACACAAGCTTGGGCACAAAAAGCTTATCACCTATCTGAGACCATAGCCAGAATTCGGGCTTCTGAAGCTGTGACAATGGGGGCTGGTTTGGGGCCTCTTTTTTTTTTTTTTTGGTTTTACGAGACAGGGTTTCTATGTATTGTTTTGGAGGCTGTTGTCCAGCCCAGCCTCGAACTCACAGAGATCCGCCTGCCTCTGCCTCCTGAGTGCTGGAATTAAAGGCGTGTGCCACCACCACCAGGCTGGGGCCTCTTATAGTAAAATCAACCACCAGGTGTGGTCAAAGAGCTTTTACAACCATGAGGTCAGGCTTAGAGTCATATTACATTTTAGTTTTACAATTTTTGTTTATAAGATGTTAGGATGTTAACTTAAGATGTTTGCAAAAGCCTATCGTTGACACAGCCGCTTTTCCCTGTACCCAAAAGAGTGCAAGAAAGAGAGTAGAGTCACATAGGAGGACAGTTAAAAATTAAAGGAATACAACACAGAGGGTCCCATAGAGGCAATAGTTAGAAGCTAACCTTTGTCTGCTGTACCTGCCTAGCCGGGAGGCTGGGAGACAGGAGAAAATTGTTAAAAGGTTCCCTCTGTACACAGTGACTGCCAGGTGTCTGCTTTTAAGGCAGAAAAGGTTGTCAAAGGTGAGCAGTGGCTACCAGCTTTATTATTTTTTAAATGTGTTGGGCACCAGGTGTTGGTGGTGCACACCTTTAATCTCAGCACTCCAGAGGCAGAGACAGGCAGATCTCTGTGAGTTCAAGGCCAGCCTGGTCTACAGAGTGAGTTTCAGGACAGGCTCCAAAGCTACAAAGAAACCCTGTCTCGAAAAACCAAAAAAAAAAAAAAAAAAAAAAAGGATAGGATTAGTAGGATTAGGAAAAAAAGTCACCTGGGCCAAACCTCCAAACCTGATTAATCATGCCTTTAATCCCAGCACATAGCAAGTTCCAGGCCAGACAGCCAAGAAGGACTGAGGATCTGAGGATGTAGGCAATTATGAAGGAAAACAATATAGCATGTATAAAAATCTGTCTTAAGATGTTTTCTTTTTAAGTTTGTGTATATGTATATGTGTTGCCTGTATAGGTGTGTACCTTAAAAGACCATAGTTCCCCTGGAACTAGAGTTACAGGTGGTGGTGAGCTACCTAATGTGAGTGCTGAGAATCAAATTCAAGTCCTTTGCAAAGATAGCATGCCCTTAAAATTTAAATTTTTATTTCCCTGAGTGTGTGCACCATATACATGCCACCCCTGCAGAGTCCAGAAGAGGATGCTGTATCCTTTGGAACTGGAGTTACAGGTCATTGTGAGCTTCTGTGTGGGTGCTGGGACCCAAACCTGGGTCTTCTTCGAGCAACAGTGCTCTTTTTTTTCTCATATTTTTTATTTAAATTAGAAACATGCTTGCTTCCCAAGTCAATCCCAGCTCCCTCTCCCAGCCCTCCTCCCTTGCCCTTCTACCAGCCCCCTTCCCAGCCCTCCAACCAATCCCCACACTATTTCCCAGGGAGAGTGAAGCCCTCCATGGGGGATCTCCAGAGTATGGCACTTCATCTTGGGCAGGACCTAGGCCCTTCCCCATGTTTCCAGGCTGAGAGAGGTTCCCTCCATATGGAATGGGCTCTCAAAGTTCATTCGTACGCTATGGTCAGCAAGTGCTCTTAATAGGTGATCCATCTAGATCTCCAGCCTGCATAAAGGTCTTTGATATACACGTTTTCTTTCTCTTGGGCCAAAGCAAAGTCAGTTCTCGAAAGCTGATGCTTAGACAAGATGGCCGCTGATAAGTGTCTTGCCAGAGGGGCTTTAGTACAGTAGTGCAGGCATTCCACATGCTTAGAAAGGAGAAGGGAAAGCCCTTGGGCAATCTCTCTGGAGAAAACGCAGAGCATTTTCAGAAGTCATCATTGCCTTCCTGAGTGAAGGTCAGCATTGCTGGAAGGAATGGTCTGGCTCCTCTCCTTCCAGTAAGAGCCCTCACTGGCCCCAAGGCCTGAAAGGTGTGTCCACCACTCCACAGCCAGCATGGCTCCTTTGGCCCCTGAGCTGTGCACTTATCAGAGTGGCTGTGCATTTCACTGGGCTACCTTCCTCCTGAGTCCCCTAGGTCTGTTTCCTTCTCCCAACTTACCTTTTTCTGGATTTATCTGTCCATCCAGTGCTAGGTTCTCAACAGCAGGCCTCAAAGGTTTTGCTCATGTCTGTCTCCAGAGTGTTGGCCCTAAACCTACTGTGTTTGTTGTTTGCTTTTTTTTTTAAAGATTATTTTATGTGTATGGAGTTTTGGCTATATGTTGCTGTACCATGTGCATGCAATGCCCGTGGAGACCAGAAGAGGGCCTCAATCCTCAAGAACTAGAACAGTGGTTCTCAACCTTCCTAATGTTGTGACGACCCTCATATTGTGGTGACCCCCAACCATAAAATTATAATCTTGCTACTCTTATGTACTGTACTGTAATATGTGTTTTCTGATAGTCTTAGGCAACCCCTGTGAAGGGTTGTTTGATCCCCAAAGAGGTAGTGCCCTACAGGTTGAGAAACACTGAACTAGAGTTATCATTGTTAGTTGCCTAAGAATCTCAGACTGTGTATGACCTGATGATCCTCCTGTCCCCCTACCCCAAATCCTGGGATCACAGGCGTGTAACACCATGCCTAGCATATGCAGTGCTGGGTATCAAAGCCCAGGGCCTAAAGCAAAAACAACCAACTGAGCCACACACCCAGCCCAATTTTATACCTATTCTTTCCACTATAAAATTGGGGCTGTGAGAATGTAAAATAGTGGGGAATGACACAAACAATGTCAGATTGCTATTAAAGAACAAAATTTATTGTGTAGTTTACAATTAACGTAACAAAATTTACCAGCTCATATAATTGCATCAGTCTCCCTTCCTGAGGAGAAGTAAACATAATAAAATAATGAAACCATATTTCTTGACCACTCACATCCAAAATACTTTGGTCCTTATTAAAGGATGACTCTGAGAGCTACTGGCAAGGCCATTGACATGGCTGAGTTGTTTAATCCTGGAGTGGGTGTTACAGGACAGAGGGTATTTCAGAGTCAGCAAAGAGGACCTAGCACTGTGATGGATGCCCCCCCTCCAAAAAAGTCATTATCAAGTACAGATCAGGGGTTGATGGACCTCTCTTAAAATTTGTTTTGTATCAGCATTTCTGGACTCCCTGAGAACACTATAAAATGCTGAGCTTTAATTACTAATGCAACAAACAAGGAATTGCCATGCTAGGTATCAAGAGCCTAAATAACAGAGCTTCTCCAAAGACAACAAATTAATCAGAACATCGCTGCAATGGCTACACCCTGTGGTAAATTACATGCACATGAGGAATCTGGGCAAGGGTGATTGTGTGTCAGGGTCCATATAGATGGCTCTGTTCCATACTGACTTAAGGTCAGAGAGTTCAAAACTATCCTTGCTCTTTCAAGATTAAAGGCCTAAGACCCAAAGGACTAAGGTGTGGGTATGGCTACTGAAGGATGTTTGGCCTAAGGTGTGGATGTCTTACCTAGATCACAGAAACCTTGATCTAAGGTTACTAGATTTCTTAATCTTCAAGGCTAAATAACTAGAGGTTTGATATAAGATGTGGTTACTAAATGTTTGGAGAATTAAGGAAGTAATTAAGTCCATTTGTTTCTTGTATCATGGCAAAGGAGTCTTTTGATCCCCCCCTTTTGGTTGGGCTATATAAGAATTTTGAGCAATAAACCTAAGGTGGACCCTGGTATTCACCAGGTGCCCTCTGTCTCAGGCCTATTTCTTTCCTCAGTCCACACTCCCCTCTCAGGTATGGACCAGACAAGCCTGCTGGACCTGGCAAGTGTGCCTAGACACTCTCATCCATGCTGGTGCGTGTGGGACCAGAGGCTGACATCAGAATGTCTACCTCCATTGCTTCCACCTTGCTGAGATAGGACCTCTCACCAAACCTCTGCATTTAGATAGACTATCTGGCCAGTCAGTTCCCAGGACCTGCCTATCTCTGTTCCTGGTGCTGGGGTTACAGGTATGTGCAACCACACCTAGGTTTCCATGGTGTATGTTGGGGGATCTGAACTCACCTTGATGTTTGCACAGCAAGCGCTTTACCCACTGAGCCATCTCCAGCCCCATAAGGGGAAAATTTTTTAAGGCAAAATGAGGAGGATGCTATGTTGTGATGAGTACAGCATCAATAACAAGGGTAGCATTGGTTCAAGACAGGCAACTGTGGTTAGGTCCCTGCACAAGTATTTTCTGTGTAAGGCTGCAAAGATCATTGAACAAGGTTGTGGCTCTTAGCAGTGTTTTGTTGTTGTTGCGTGAGTGCGTGCGTGCGTGCGTGTGTGTGTGTGTGTGTGTGTGTGTGTGTGTGTGTGTGTGTGTGTGTGTGTGTGTGTGTGTGTGTGACTTCTTGTTACTATTTATTTTTTAAGAAGGGGTTTATTTGGGCTTATTATTCCAGAAGGGATACTGTCATCTGCCATAGCAGGGAAGGCATGGATCCTGAATGTGAGGCTGGCCCAGCAGTCAGGAAGATGGCTGACCCCATTTCATCCACACACAGGAAGCAGAGAGCTTTAAATCTGCATGCATGCCTGAGAGCCTCTCCTTCCAGTCTCTTTTCAGCTTTACTTACTTTTTAGTCCAGGGTTTGGCCCACAAGACTTCTTTTTTTTTTTTTTTTTTACCTCTTAAAAATGTTATTGATAGTAGAAAACTGGAGAGAAAGCAGGGATTTGCACATAGATGGCAGGTTGCTGAAACTTTTTCCTTCCTCTAGGAGACAGCACGAACATGCAGTTCCCCACTACCACAAATTATGCAGTTGAGTTTCCCACATTTGGGGAAACTGAAGGGGTCAGCACATCTGGAGAGCAATGGATAAGTCTAGCCCTGGGAAAAGCACCTTTGTGATCAAGGTATCTCCCCAGGTTACCGGAGCTTTGATCACAAATGTCTTTAGCTTTTGCTCCTGACCCTCCTGTGTGGGAGACCTCCTGTGGATATGTTCTTCTCCACATTTCCTCTACAAAAAGCTGCATTTAACCTAGGAAAGCAGAATCCCTAGGTCCACCCCAGGAAATGAGTGTCACAAGCTTACCTGGTCTTTCTGTTTCACAGGTAAACTTGAAGACAGGACTTTTGACTGTCCCATTGGTGAGGTTTTCAACACCCTCCGCAAACACTAAGCCCAGCAGCATACTGGGCAGGCTAAAACAATGTAAGGTATGTGACATCTCCTTCTGTGCTTGAAAAGGGAATCCTACCAGTTGGGATGACACACTTAGCTCCAGAGATCAACACATTTTGTCTGTACTGTGGAATATTTTACAGCAGGTCCTGAGGATCAAACTCCCATTGTCAGTCTTGGCAGGAAGCTTCTTAACTCATTGAAACATCTCTCTCATCTGGGGAAAAAGCCTAGCTATACAAAATTCATCAAATGCAGCCGGTTTTATTTTAAACATTAATATAAAAATTAGAATGGCAGGGCAATATGCTTAATCCAACTGTTTAAATAGAATTGAGAACTTTATTTTTAGAGACAGAATCTCATGAATCCAAGGATGGCCTTAAACTCACTAAATAGCCAAGGATGGGTTTGAACTTCTGATCATCTGATCTTACTTCTCTGGTGCTGGAATTATAGGCATGCACCATCAGGCCAGGTTCATGCTTTGCTGAGGTTCAAAACCAGGGACTCAGTATAGTGGTGCATGCCTTTAATCACAGTGCTGAGGAGTCAGAGGCAGGCATTATCTGGGTTTAGAGTCAGCCTGGTCTACATAGTAAATTCCAGGACAGCCTGAGCTACATAGTGAGACCCTATCTCAAACAGACAAACAAAACCAGACAAAAACAAACAAATACAGGGTTTTGTATATTTTAGGCAAGCATTTACCAACTGTGCTATACCCCTATCCCCTAAACACCCCATTTTAAATAAATTTAAAACTTAACATTTCAATAATTTGTCTTCCCTAGGACTTAAGCCCTTGTTCTCCCTTTTACAGAACACTTGCAGAATCAGTGCATGTGTACAGAACTCTCCCCAGGTTAAATACTTTTTTTGATATGAACCCATTTAAAAAAAAAACGTCAAGATGCCAGTCACTACAAATACTTTTGGTCACTGTAAGCCAGCACCACACCAGTGATGTAACACTGAAGCCTGGCATGTTCTGAAATCATGTTTCCTTTTCATGTAATTCAGGCTCAGGGATCCGATACAGAGCAGCTGAGAAATAAATAATGTTGCTGAGGCTGAAGATGATACAAAGAAGCATGGCTGCTGCTATCTGAGGCAAAGAGAAGGGTCTGGAGGTGGCCAGGAGCCACTCCTTCCTCAGAGTCTTGTCCAGGAGGATGGCTTCCATCTGCAAGTGTGTGGCCAGGATCACACACACGTGAAACAGCTGGTGACTATGACCTATGAAAAAACACAAAAGGTCATCAAGATTACCAGTCAGAACCAGAGAAATGGCTCTGTGGGTGAAGGCTCCTGCTGCCAAGCCTGGTAACATTAGTGCCACTCCTGCAACCCTCAGAAGAGTATACATTCCCATTAGTTGTTCTCTGACCTCTGCATGTTATGGCTTGTGCATACCCATATATATAATATATATATGTATACACACACACACACACACACACGCACACACACACACACACACACACACACGCACACGCATGCATTTACATGAAATAAATTACGTGCTGGGAAGTCATCCATCAAGAGATATATGGGCACAGGCTGTGATACGTATGCTAAAAATGCAACAGTTAAATCCAAGGATCCAGGCCAGAGATCACATATATGATTTTTTTTGTTTGGTTAACTTATTTCAGTGCTGATTGTCTTCTGAGACAGGGTCTCATGTAGCCCAGACTTGAACTCACTATGTAGCTGAGGATGACTTTAAACTCTGGTCCTCCTGCCTCCACCTCCTGAGTGCTGGGATCACAGGCTTGCACAATCACACTAATTTTATAATTCAGCTTGTAAGAAATGCTTAGAGAGGCAGGTGAAAGAGCCATAGGCATGCCTGCATCCTTATGGACACAGACTGGCTGGAGACATTCACAGGCCTGCAGTGCCAGGCAGATAGTGCCATTATGATGAGCAAATCTATGGTGGAGAAATGGGAGAGCAATGGGCTGGCTCTTGTGTTGTGGAAAGAGGCGGAGCTGAAAAAGCAAAGGTGGTGAGAAACAAGCTAATGTAGGGGGCCTGCTTGCCACCCAGGGCCATGGTCCTACGCCAGTAGGGTAGTTGACAACCCCAGTCTGTGCTGACGTTCATTGCCCACATAACAACCAAAGGCCGCCAGGTAGTGGTGGCGCATGCCTTTAATCCCAGCACTCAGGAGGCAGAGGCAGGCGGATCTCTGTGAGTTCAAGGCTGGGCTGGACCGACAGCTTCTAAAACAATACAGAGAAACCCTGTCTCATAAAACCAAAAAAAAAAAAAAACCAAAAAACAAAAACAACAACAACAACAACAAAAAACAACCAAAGGCCACATTGATGCCCCAGTGTCTGGGCTGCCACCTATGGTCATATTGGTGTCTGAGGACTGTGCCACATAGGGGCCATGCCAATCTGAGTGGCCTGAGCTGCCACCCAGTACCTTGATGTCATCAGGGCCCGAGCTGCAGATGAGGGACATGTCAGGGTTCATGACCATACTGCAGCCAGAGTCTGTGTTGGTGTCCATGCTTCAGTTACCATTGAAGACCAAATGGATGTCTGTAGTTGGACCTGCCACCTGAGGCCATGTTGCTGTCTGAGAGCCATGCTCCAGCTGTACCGTACTTATCTGAGTGTCTTGTACTACCACTTGGATCATGGTGACATCTGGGCCCAGGCTGCTGCCAAGAGCCACGTCTGGGTCTGTGGTCCTACCACAGCTGGGGTCTATGCTGACATCCATGGCCTGTGTTGCCACCAAAGGGCTACCCAGATCCACATCCTGGGCTTTGAGTTGGCCCACTCCAGCATCTACACCATCCATGACCTCCTGAGTGCATGAAGGGATTTGTCCTACAGAACCATGACCTCGGGATCTCCATGATACCAGACAATGGCAGGATGAGATATCCAGGAGGAGTTTTGGTGAGGATCTAGTGTTGATGGTGTACCAGAAGCCAGAGCCCTTGAACCAGAACTACAACTCATTACAATGAATATTTTCAAGCAAAGTGGAATGGACAAAAGTGTGTACTTCATGACATACTGCAGCTCCCAATGCCACCAAGACAGAGGGAGAGGTGGGAAAGATGGAGGAATGAAATGGGGTTTTTGTTGTTTGTTTTGTTTTTAATTAAGTCTCCGAGCCATTTACATGCTGAAGTCCAGCCTGTGGCCATCTCTGGAGAGATAGTTAAATTCCAGTGAGGTCACTGGGGTGGGCCCTAATCCTCTGGATGTGATCTGTACTGAGGAAGAAACCCATCAAGACCATGGAAAGGTACTCAGGTACCTTCCCTAGGCCAAGGGAAGGGCGAAGACACCATCCTGCTGACAACTACATCTCACACCGTCAGCCTTCTAAATGTGAGAAAATAGTGCTCTGTTGTGCTGGCCACCCACACTTGTATGCAGAATTTTCCTTGTGTGTGCAAACTGCAGACCTAGCAAACCAATACAACATGACTGTTAAATAAGGCTTCTCCAGACTGCCATATCCAGGTGTGGTGGCACCTACTCCTACCTCAGCATTCTTTAGGCAGACACTGGAAGTTCATGAGCTATGTATTGAGTTTAAGGCCAGCCTTCACTACATATTGAGACCCTACCCAAAAAAAAAAAACTTAAAAAGTGGGGTGGGAGATGTGTGTGAGAGAGGAGGCTCGGTGAGAAAGGCACCTTCCACCAAGCCTGACAACTTGAATTCAATACCCTGGACCACATGGTAGAAAGTGACAACCTGTTCCCGAAAATAGTCCTTTGACCTCTAATGCCCACAGCAGCACACAAACACATTAAATAAATTAACACGCAATTAAAAATAATGCATGAAAAAGTTCTGTATGGTTTCACAGAACCCATTTCAGGCTCTGGGGCGCCTGGCCACAGCACCTCTTCATGTAGGAGCTGAAACAGGATTGCTGAACATTGGCAAGCATGCCTGCAGCTTTCATTCAGCCCCTCCTGTCCCAGGAGGAGGATGAGTAAATGGCACCCAGCCTTAGGCAAGTTCAAAGCACAGATTGTGCCCAACTCCAGATACGTGTGGGGTGCAGGCAAGTGAGCCGCTGCAGCTGTGACACGGTGTCAGACACAGAAGTCTGACTCGCCGGCATTCACTAAACCATTTCCATTAGATGAGAAGCAGATGTGCCACCAGCAATGGGCGCGTCTGAAAGGGCCCTATGGGAAGAGTGGCTTCAACTGTCCACCTATCAGGTCTCAGGAGCTTCCTGTAGGCCAGGGCTAACCAGGCTGGAAAGCACCTTCCACCTTCCCCTATAACACAAGCATTTTTCTGCTATATATCTTTAGGCCCAAAGGACAGGGCTAAAGTGAATAAATAAAACGCGGAGAAGTCAGAGTGCTGGCAGATGCTGCCCCGTCTGTGACACACCCCTGCCTGCCCCTGTGGTCCCCAAGCTCTCATCTACAGCTCTGTCTTTCTTCATGGTGGGGCTGAAGTAGGTGGTAGGTAAAGGCCTAGGGGCCTCCAGTTCCTGACCTCTGACTCTGTTCTCTGTAGAGTATGTGCTCTAAGCATTTGGTTAGCAGCAGTCCCTTCTGGTAGAAGAAAAGTGAGACTCTAATCAGATCACGAAGTCTATCTGGCTCCATCTCTGAAGGAGGTGGAGAAGACTGTAGGCAGAGGCAAAGGCAGCTTGGGGAGAGCCTAGGTGCTCGCTGTGGTGGGGACAGACCAGCCTTCTGAGTCCCATGGTATCCAGTTAAGGAACTTTTCTGCCAAAGGCTTGTCACCATCCACAGAAGCCACCCAAAGGTGCTGTGATGGCTAATACTGTCAACTTCACGGTCTCTAGAACCACCAGGAAACAAGCCTCAGTGTACACCTGGGAGGAGTTTCTACATTGGGCTAACTGAGGTGGGAGAACCCGCCATTTCATGGACTGGGGTCTGGACTGAATACAAAGAGTGCAAGCCGAGCAGCAGCATTCATCTCTCTCCGATTCCTGACTGGGCACAGTATGACCTGCTGCCTCGTGCTCTGCCACCATGCCTTCCCTGATCGTGGTGGGGCAGACCCTCAAAGCGGGAACCAAAAGAAACGCTTGAGGTTTTGGCCACAGCAACAGAAAAGTAACAGGCACAGGTGCTTCCTTCCCAGCCAGGGTCAGAGCCAGGTGGGGCAGATGGGACAGATGGGGCAGGTGGGAAGAGCCCCACCCAGCCTGCTCTGGAGGAAGGGTAGGGGACATTGCAGCAGTGAGGAGTTCCTGTGCTCTGACACCTCTCCCCATCACATGTCCTCTCAAGATATACTCAGCTTGGCTCCCTCCAGTGTCACACGGCCTCTGTGAGTACTGACCTTGCCCTAGCTTTGGAGTTCTTGGGTCAGGACAGTTTGGGCCTGGAAGCTGCACCTGGGACCCACGGTTCAACAAGACTCCAGGCCCTCCACTCACCATCAATATAGACTTTCTCCCTGCTGTCTGGAACCCTGAGTAACCTGCAAACCATCTTCCCACTTCCCCTCTGTGGTTGCCTCCCCCATCATATTGTACTGGTAAGTCAGACTCTGGGTACCATCAGGATGGTTGTTCACGGGAATGCTTCAGGGTCCTGAGTCTACCTGTCCCTGGCAGTACACCGGCAACACAAATGGTGGTTTCAGTCAGGATGGCTGGATGACTCCCACTAGGTCACTCCTCTCCAGGTCCTCTGCCTGTGGCTACATACACACTGTCAAGGATGCTTCCACCCCAGCCAAGAGAGTCACCCCTGCTTCAGGGTCACCCCCGCCCCTGCCCCACCACACTCACCGATGTAGTCAAAGCGTCCAGGAGCAAGTCGCTCTGGCAGGTGAGCAGAGTATAAGAAAGAGGCCAGGAGGGTCATGACCATGTGCTTCTGGTGGTACAGGATGGCTTCATTTCTTGAACTCTCTCCCGGGAGCAGGAACAGCTGCAGACGTTAAAAAAAAAAGGCCCTGAGAAGCCAGACCTTAGATCTTACACCCATGCCTCTCAGACACAAGCTCCGAAGGCCCAGGCCTCACCTCCTCAGGGTAGTGGCCTGAAGGAGGGATGTGTGGGGATGAGGGGAAGGAAGGAAGAGAAGAGGACAAATAAAGAGATGAGTGCCAGGCAGTGGTGGCGCACGTCTTTAAGTGCAGGGAGGCAGAGGCACGCAGATCTCTGAGTTCAAGGCCAGCCTGATCCTACAGAGTGGGTTCCAGGACAGCCAGAGCTACACAGAGAAACCCTGTCTGGAAAAACCAAAAATGTAAACAAACAGGAAGAGAGAGAGATGGGCAAAGAGAAAGAAGGAAAACTCTACTAGACATTGCTGAGGATAAGATGCAAGCACAGGGGGATAGCACCATCTGCCCTGACTCCAGATGCAGAGTACAGACCCAGCTCACAATTAAGTCTTCAAGCCTTAGTTAGATGCAAGCTGGCAACTGGCTCAGTGGGTAAAGTCCCTTGTCATCTAGCCTGATGACCTTAGTTTAAAGCCCTGGACCCACATAGTAGAAGGAGACAACTGGCTCCCACAAGTCATTCTCTGATTTTCATATGCTTGCTGCAACTTTGTGTGTGTGTGTGTGTGTGTGTGTGTGTGTGTGTGTGTGTGTGTGTGTGCGCGCGCGCGCACGCGCATGGTGGGGTACATACAAAAGAAATGTGATAGGAAAACAAACCTTTAAAAACAAAAAGGCTTGGAAACCTTTCTATATGATCAAAAAGGATGAGCATTTGACCTGGCTCGGTGACTCAAGCTTGAACTCACTCTCTGAGGCAGAAATGTTGGAAGTTCAAGGCCCATCTAGGCTATGGAGCTAGTTGAAGGCCAGCTTGAACAACCTAGTGAGATCCTGTCTCAAAATCAATCAATCAATCAATCAATCAATCAATCAGTGCTTGGGGATATAGCTCTATGGTAGAGCCCTTGCCTCACACATAGAAGACCTTAGACTCAATTCCCAACATCGACCACCCCTCAATATATGATCAGATGGGGCCTGTTGCAGTTGGACAGCTTCTGCTGAGGTTGTGGGAAGGTGTTTCCTTTGGCTCCTGGCACCTTAAGGCAGTCTCTAGCTCTGAATTTTGCACACAAGAAAGTGAGCCTGAGACTGACTTGCAAACCACCAATAATCAGCAAAATGAGGGTTGAGATCTAGGCAGGGTAATTCTGGTATTAATGCAGCCACCCCGTGCCCCTCTGCCCTACTGTCCCACACAGCTTCTGGACAGCATCACACGGCATGATATCTGCATGTAACTGGTGACAGCTGTCAGCTGCCATTCCCTGTGTGTGTCTTCATGACTCCCTCCAGGAAGCAGTGAGAGCTCTGAATTGCACTCCCATCCCCCCAGTCTCCTGTAGACCCACTCAGAGAAAACACCCAGTGTAGCAAGTAAAACCCTTCACTGCCCTGTCCCCTCACCCCTGGCCACCTGGGCCTCACACTGCCTCTGGGAGAAGCTTACTCACAAGATAACGCTGAGCCTGTAAGATCCATTCTAGCCAGGAAGCCTCATTATCTCCTATTCAGAAGCAGATGCTAGCCTCATTCACAGATAAAGAAGCCTAGGCTCAGAAAAGTTAAGTGTACTGCCTAAGTCACACAGCAAGTAAACACAGAGACTAGAATTTGGAATCAGACCCATGTGACCTCTTCCCTTCCTGTCCTGTCCTGTTATCCTATTCTGCCTCATTCTCATCTATCCCTTAAGACCTTTATCCCCATCTTTCCTTCACCACACTATTACTGATAATGTACAACCATGCATGTATTGGCCTTTCCCCCAGCTAGCACCGATGATTACCAAACCCCAGGCTGTATGCCTTGTTGTGGTTTCAATAGGAATGACCTCCATAGACTCACGTGTTTGAATGGTTGGTCACGGGGAGTGGCACTATTAGGAGGTGTGTGGCCTTGTTGGAGTAGATGAGGCCTTGTTAGAGGAAATGTGTCACTGTTGAGGTAGGCTCTGAGGTCTCCTATGCTCAAGCTACACCCAGTGTAGCTCAAAGCTCACTTCCTATTGCCTGCAGATCAAGGTGTAGAACTCTTAGCTCCTTCTCCAGCACCACATCTGCCTGCATGCTTCCATGTCCCTTCCGTGACAGTAGTGGACTAAACCTCTGAGACTATATGCCAGTGCCAATTAAATGCTTTCCTTTGTTTTTTTTTTTGTTTGTTTTTTTGTTTTTGGTTTTTCAAGACAGGGTTTCTCTGTGGCTTTGGAGGCTGTCCTGGAACTAGCTCTTGTAGACCAGGCTGGCCTCGAACTCACAGAGATCCGCCTGCCTCTGCCTCCCGAGTGCTGGGATTAAAGGCGTGCGCCACCAACGCCCGGCAAATGCTTTCCTTTGTAAGAGTTGCCATAGTCAGGGTGTCTCTTCACAGCAATAGAAACCCTAAGACACTTGCTCAGGTCTCTGTGGTTGTTCCTAAGGTCTTAAGTTGTTCATAAGTTTGTCTGCAAGGGCCTCTGTGTTCACACCTGAGTCTCAACTCCTATGGGCCCCCAGAGCCCACAATGGGGTTATGACTCCCTCAGAGCCTCAGGAAATGATGAAGCTCCTGGCATTGCTGACAAGAAGAGAGGAGATGTAGCCCATGTCCTTACCCTGTAGAAGATGGGGAGTGAGTCCCACGTGTAGGGGTAGGCAAAGGCGAGGATCCGGAGCAGCTTGCAGAGCCGGGGCTTCTGGAGTTCAAGAAACCTGAAGTCAGGGAGGAAATGAAAGCGTTTTAGGAACTCACACACGAGCACAGGGAGGACAAGCATTTTTACATGGCCTCCTGTGGCCCACAGCTTTTCCACAACCTTTCTCATTCCTCCCACACTGGGGAAACTCAGCTAAGAAGGGGAAACTTGGCCGGGCGTTGGTGGCGCACGCCTTTAATCCCAGCACTTGGGAGGCAGAGGCAGGTGGATCTCTGTGAGTTCGAGACCAGCTTGGTTTACAAAGTGAGTTCCAGGACAGCCTCCAAAGCTACAGAGAAACCCTGTCTCAAAAAACAAAAACAAAACAAAAAAAAACAAAAAAAGAAGGGGAAACTTGCTCTGAAATTGTGAAATGCAATGGGTGCAAACCAAGACTTGGGGAGGGGTGTCTTCGGGAAGAAACTCTGCAAAGGTCAGAGGACACTTAACAGCAAAGAGGTTTTAGAAGGCTGACACCACCAAGACAGGAAGGGGCCTCTCAAGCACAGACCCTGGGTCCCACATTCTACAGAAGCAGAGATGCACCCAAACAATAGCAGTCACCTAGGTGATGCCATACAAAGACCTGGGTTCAAGGTGTGTGTGTGTGTGTGTGTGTGTGCGCGTGTGTGTGTGTGTGTGTGTGTGTGTGTGTGTGTGTGTGTGTGTGTGTGTGTGTGTGAGCTAGATCACCCAGAGAAGTGTCTAGAGTATATCATGCTCAGGAACACTGGCCTGGGGAAAGTGAATGTGCAGAGGGTCTGTCTTCTCTCCTCCATGAGCTTTCCCATTACCCTCCAAAGCGAAGACAGAATCCAACTGGAACTCACTGTGCTAACTAGAAGCAAGAGGCAGGACCTCCTGGACAGGCCACCACTGGGCCTCTAGAGACCTAGAGACCAGCTTTAGACCTGGGAGTTCAGCAGCACAGAAACCCAGACTGGGTATCAGGAGGTTAGGGTTGAACATGGTATCCACACAAAACTGCAGCTCTGGGGCTGGTAGAGTACCTATATGGTTAGCATGCAGGAAGCCTGGGTTCCAACCCTAGCACTCATGAACCAGGCATGGTGATGCATGCCTGTGATTGGAGCACTTGGAGGCCAAGTCAGAAAATCAGGAGCTCAAAGGTATTTTAAATATATTTTGTATATTAAACATATTTTATATTAACTAAATTTAATATATTCTATATAGTGAATTTGAGGTCAGAAGGATCAGAAGTTCAAAGTCATTTTTAATATATTTTATATAGGGAATTTGAAGTCAGCCTGAGCTATAGGAGACCCTGTGTCAAAAAACCAAACCAAAACTCAATTACCATCTTGATTATGCTGTAACACTAGGGAAGGAGGCCGCAGGGCTATAGTTCCATAGGTTCCAACATAAGCTGGTCACATGAGGACCACGCTGCTATGGCAGATGGCCTCTAAAGCTGTGTGTGACCTATCCCTTCTCCACAGTGTTGTTGTAAGACTTAAAGAAATGAGGTCCCCAAATCATACACAGCCCAGGGACTAAATGGACCCTGGACAAACAAACCACTCCCAGCTCATCTGGCAGGGTAAGAGCAAGAGAGAAGGGGTCTGGATGGACAGTCCCAGAAGGAGCTGAGAGCAGACACCTTGGCCTTAGCCCAAGGTGTTTGTCCCTCAAGAGTCACTGATAGGCCCAGCTTCTGTCTTTCTTCCCTCAGGGGCCAAAGAAAACACCTCCTCACAACCCCAGCAGAAGTTGTCCAACCACAGCAGGTCCCTTATGCATCTGCTGGGTCTGGGACAGGATCACTCCTAAAGAGTGCTCCTTGTGGCCACTTAAGGCAAAGAAAACTTGTCGAGGACTGCCCCCCAAAAAGTGGGTTTCCTGCAACTTGAGACCACATGTCACCATACCTGAAAAACTGCTCCCCTAGGGGGAAAACGGACCAATCTCTCCAGCAACAAAGCTGAGTCTACAGGGGACAAAAAGAGGAGGAGGAGGGAAGAAGAGGAGGAGAATAGGAGGGAGAAAGCAACAGAGAGGGGAAAAAGGTCCCTTAACCAAGTGCAATTCCATATCCTACCACAGGATGTCGCCACAGCCAGAGATTCCTAAAGCAGCAGCCTTGGCCAGAGATGCCTCCAAAAGCATCCAGCAACAGTTTCCAAAGCACAGCTGGCTTACACACCCTGGGATTGAAAGCTCTGCTCAGGAAGCCGTGCAAGAAACACTGGATTGGGGGAGAAGCCTCCCTTAAGACCAGGGTGAGTCAATAAATCTTGGAAACTGAAATGCCAAAACCGATGCCTGATGCAAGCAGTTAATTAAAGGTATTCAATTGCAAAAGTATACGTGGTGTGTGTGTGTGTGTGTGTGTGTGTGTGTACCTGACACTCTCTTTAGGCAAGACCTCACTCTGTCAGGTGTGGCAGATTTTTCACATGGGTTCCCAAAGCCCAGGCAGCCTTTGAGGAACATTGGTCATTGGGTGGGGACAGTAGCCACAGATGTGCTCTCTGGATCATCAGAAACAAACTGTGACATAGTCAAGGAGAGAAGGCCTAAAACATGGGCATATAAGACATTCCTGCATTAGTGCCTAACACCATCCAAATACACCAGGCTCACTGAATCCACAACACTCACCACTGAGCCTGCGTGGTCAAGGGAGACTCTGGGCTAGAAGAAAGCAATGTACCCTGGTGGCTAACAGGTGGTCGGCCAGGAGCTTTCAAAACTTAATTAATTTAAAAGGCTACAAATGTCCTACCTAATACGCCCCTGGGAAATCAGTTTTGTCCTATCAATCATAGAGATTGTATCTTTCCCACCTATCAATCATAGAATCATAGAGATGGTATCTTTCCCACCTATCAATCATAGAATCATAGAGATGGTATCTTTCCCACCTATCAATCATAGAATCATAGAGATGGTATCTTTCCCACCTATCAATCATAGAATCATAGAGATGGTATCTTTCCCACCTATCAATCATAGAATCATAGAGATTGTATCTTTCCCACCCACGCGCTGCTTCAACCCCCACTACCCAGAGCATTTGTTCCCTCTGATCCCAGTTTTGAGGTGCTTGGGAGCCAACTACACAGGGCAATAACTGACCAAAGACCAGATTCAGGGGTGTCCAGGTCTACCCAGGGGTCCAGGCAGCCAGAGAAAAGATCACCCAGGCACACTGCATCTCAATGCTGTGAGCATCACTCCTATTATGCATGCACCTTGTTTCATCCAAGATGGGGACCCAACCTCTCTCCACCACTGGTGGTATCCTCAGATTTCCACCCTGCTACAAGGGCTATATACCACACAATCTAATTCCTCCTGGAATTACAAGACAGCAATCCAGGACAAGGGATTTCATTTCCTGGCTCTTCTGGTGGATTCAAGCCCTGCCCAGCTTTCAGAGAATCCTGTAATATCTACAAAGAAAAGAGAGACCCCCTCCCCATCCTCAGCAGTTCAGGAGGGGGTGAAGTCACACAAGTTGCTTTCACCGCCAGGGGGAGCAAAACATGCCTAACCCTACCCTTCTCAAACATGTCTGCAAATGGAGGGCAAGCTGGGGTGAGCCTGTCTGATTTTGTATAAGAACTTATCCTCCCACATTTAAAAAAGCAAAAACCAGTTTGTCAGGTTCCCCCAAATTTGGGTGTCACCCAGTGGAAACTGAAGCCAAAAACATCCCAAAGAGGAACCCCCTACTCTGCCTGCTTCTCCCTGGAGAGGGGACAGTGCAGTTGGGGACACACATGCAACTCAGGTGCCTCTCCTGACCTGTCATTTCCTGGCATGGTGGCACTATCTAAATGAGACTATCACCTTGCCACAATCATCTGGAAGGTTTCCTAAGCGACTGTGATTTCAGGTAGTTCATTCCTGCAAAGACTAGGGTCAACTAGCACAGGTGTCCCCATGACAACACTGCTCACACTCCACCCCACAGAGTCTTGCTTGAAAAGGAAAAGGATAGCAGGATTAGAGGTGAGGAGGAGGGCATGACTTGTGGCCACTTTTGAATACCTTTTGTCACCCATCACAGGTACCTAGCGATGACACATCCACTCATAACTTTGAGTGGAGGACTGCCTGCTACTGAGGAACCTTCTCTGCCAGACTTGAGCGAGGCATCCTGGATGCTTTTGTCCTAACACTGAGTAAAGTAACCAATACATAAGACAACAAGGGCTCTTCAGGGAGCCAGGTGTTGGGCATCTCCCATGGCGATGTGTACTGGGTCCTCCCCAGCTTCCCACCTGAGATTAGAGCCCAATACCTGGAATAACAGGAGAGACCAGTGCTGAGAATGGTGTTCAGCACTGCCAGGGCTACGTAGCATTCATGGAAGGTACTGCAGACCAGTGCATCAGGGAATGTGTATGCGGAATAGGCGATGGCTGATCCTGCAAAAGAAACACCAGCCTTGAGACACAGGCCAGGCCACAGCACTATGAGGATCCTGGGTAAAACCACCTCAGCCTTCATCTTCTGTACAGACTCCTGAGCTAACCTGCCTCTGTGCCTTCTCAGAATATCCCCACCCCCTTGTCAGAGATTGTGTGTGTGTGTGTGTGTGTGAGAGAGAGAGAGAGAGAGAACTCATCCTGTCTTTATAATTCTGACCCATATAAAATTTACACTTATCTTAAAGATGAGCATATAGAGACACAGGGAGATCTAGTAATTTATCTGAAGTAACACATCAAGAAAATAGAAACAAGCTTCAAACCTAGGCAAACTGGAGATGAATCATGGCTTCTAAACACAGGCTGGCACTAATGATGACACCAAACTCATCTGCCTGTGACAGGTACCTCCTGAGAAGCTCAGTATCACAGAAAGAGGTCATCCCTAAGGACAGGTAAGTCCTGTCAGAGGCTGAGGGGTAGCCAGTGAGTGTGGGGTTTGCTCTAGGTTTTGGAGTATGAGGGAAGCAGCTACAACAACACCTTCTAGAGAGACTAGCTGTAAAAGGTTTTGGTTGGAGGAACAAGAGATACTATCACCTATCTTGGAGTAGCCAGGGACCTCACCCTTACCTATGGGAGAGGCCGGATCTGGCTCCAGTTCATGTTATTCTAATACACTGGTTCTCAACCCTCCTAATGCTGCAACCCTTTAGTTCTTCATGTTTGTGATGACCCCCAACCATAAAATCATTTTCATTGCTACTTCATAACTGTAATTTTGCTACTCGTATGAATCATAACATAATATCTGTGTTTTCCAGTGGTCTTAAATGACCCTGTGAAAGGGGCATTCAACCCGGGTCTCAATCCACAAGTTGAAAACCAATGTTTTAATACATCAAGCACATTGGTTTCACAGCTAGAGGCAGAAACAGGCTAGATTCAGTCTGCCTTTTCTCCCACTTAATAGGTGGATCCTCTAGTAAAGCTGATCACAGGAGCAAGGGACCACAGCCTGGTGGTGGCCACCTGAAGGGACCACAGCGTGGTGGTGGCCACTCCAAGGGACCACAGCCTGATGGTGGCCACCTGAAGGGACCACAGCCTGGTGGTAGTCATCTGCAATCCTAGTGCTGGGGAGGCAGGAACAGGTGGGTCAATAGCCAGGCATCCTAGCCTAATCAGTGACTCTTGGACCAGTGAGACCACCCGAGGCCCCCTCACCCCCACACATATTTAAACAAACACAAGTGCTGACAGAGAGGGCTGAGCATCCCCTTCCTAGCACAGTACAGAGTTCCTGTGGGAACTCATCCAGGAGCTCAGCTCCAGGAGACCAGAGAACCCTTCTCCAGACCTGATGCTCAGGGAGCTGTCTGGACCAGGATGTTCCACCAGTGCTGACTGGAACCAAGGTGTACAGCCAGCATCGCATGCAATACAAGAGTAAAGGGCCTCAGACCACCTGAGAATATAGCAGGAAGCAAAGCTGACCTGAGCCTAGAGGGTCTGGAGGGGAAGGGGTGAGATGGGCCAGGATTCAGGTAAAGGTGACATCAATCGCAGTCATGGCTACCCTGTGAGATGGACACGGACTCAAAAGCATTTGTTCACAACCCTCCTATGTCTGCTCTAGAGAACAAGGCTTAGAGACGCTAAGAAATTCATCTAAGACTGAATTTGGGACCTGATGCTGTGTCAAAGGGGCCTGAGAGGCCGGGTGGTGGTGGCGCACGCTTTTAATCCCAGCCCTCAGGAGGCAGAGGCAGGCGGATCTCTGTGAGTTCGAGGCCAGGCTGGACTGACAGCCTCCAAAACAGAGAAACCCTGTCTCGTAAAACCGAAAAAAAAGGGGGGGGCGCTGAGAGTTGTAGTTCAGTTTCCAGCATCCATGTTGGGCAGCTCATAACCACCTGTAACTCCAGTTCCAGGGGACCTGACGCTGGTGCTGGCCTCCATGGGCACCGGTACACACATGGCACACAGACAAATAGAAATAAAAATAAATCTTTAAAAAATAGGTGTGCATTTGGGGGCTCAGCACACAGCTGGCCTAGAAGGACTTCTCAAAATGCTTGCTTTTATTAAAATCCCCAGCTGAAAACAAACATAGCTCAGATAGAGGGCTTGCCTGGCATGCACACAGTCCCGGGTCCCATTCCCAGCACTGCCTAACCACTAGAGTGGCACACGTCTGTTTTCACAGCACTTAGAAGATGAGAACAAGATCCTCTTTCAAAAAAGAAAGGGAAGGAGAGAGAGAGAGAGAGAGAGAGAGAGAGAGAGAGAGAGAGAGAGAGAGAGAGAGAGAGAGAGAGAGAGTGCACCTCAGGAAGCCGCTGAGTTGAGAGTTTGGACCTTATCTATCCCAGGTAATAAGGAGTCCGAAAAACTGGCAGGAGATGAGCAGGAACCTCCCAGGTAACATGGTGGAGCTGCAGGGCAGAGCCTCTAAGCAGTTCCGGGTGAGTCAAGCTAACTGAGCGTTCATTCGATACCCTGAGCTTGATCACTGATTAGATAGAGTGGGGAGTAGAGGTGGGAGGAGGAGCCAAAGCTTATTAGCCCTAACTAGAGCAAAGCAGAAGGTGGCACCCCTAGCCAGGGACCTGAGAGAAGAGCAGGGGTGATCAGGGATAGGACAGGGGTGTGGAGAAGACTCAACCAGTCCTGGATTCAGGCTTAGTTTGGCTTCAGAGCCAGTGTTTAAAGACAAGGTTTAGGAGTCTCTTGTCCAGAGACGTTAGGGGATAGGAGGCTGGGCCTGGGCATGCTAGACAAAAGGTTCCATGGTTAATCCTGAGTTACTGACAACTCAGAGTGTGCCAGCTATGGGGCAGAGGAGAGGAGGGAACCAGAAAAGATTCAGATCAGGGATGTAGGTGGAGGACATGGAGGGGTTGGGGCCATGGCGGCCAGTTTTGATGCCTGGAGAGAAATGGACAGTGGAGCATTAAGTAGTGTGTGTGTGTATGTGTGTGTGTGTGTGTGTGTGTGTGAGAGAGAGAGAGAGAGAGAGAGAGAGAGAGAGGGGGGGGTGTACAGGTGTGAAGGAAGAGAAAAGAGGAAGAAGGATGGATGGAGTGTAGCCTCCTCCTAGACAAACTCTTGCAAACGAAGATACAGTGACTGGCTTTCGCAGCTAGAGCAGGGCCAGGAGGGAGGAAGAGCCAGCAGCAGCATCCTAAGGGTTGGATGATAACTGTGTGAAGGAGAGAAGCAGGAGGAAAGGCTTCCTAATCAGGAAAACACGTCAAAGAGGATGGGGGCAGAACCACCCAGCTTCACCAACAGCTCACCACGCCACTTCTCAGCGCGTGGGAAAATGCCTCTAAGCCTCTGGGCAAATGTGGTTTGTGACTCCATCTTCCTTTCTCTATCAGGCATACAGATCCCAGCCCTGATGTGCTGAGGTCAGCCATGGTGGCCCATGAAAGCCAAACTGTGAACATTTCAGAGTCCTTGCAAGCCTGTAGTTAATCCCAGCCACCACTAAAAGTTATAATTAACTAAATCACAGTAACCAAAGTCCTAAGTGCTGAGTACACAGATCTGTGTGACGGAGTTACTATGAAACTCCTTGGAGGTTGCTCCTAGGTTTCTCCTTAGACCTCTACATCTGGTGATGCCATTCAGAGAACAGGGAGGGAAGCAAGGAGGGGGCATTTACACCATAGAATTGGCAAACGCTCCAGGTCAGGGTGTATCCACAGAGAGCGCAGGTATGAGCTCTGGACAGGGATTCTGCATCCTCATGACTCTTCTAAAACCCATCAAATCTCCTGGGAGACAGGCAAGTGGCAGTCTCAGGTGGAGGGGACAGAAGGGCAAGGGCCTCACGTACCCAGGCTGAAGAGGTTGACAGCACCATAGTCCAGAAAGTAGCAGATATGCCGGGCGTTCTTGGACATAGAGCTGAAGGTGTGTGCACAGCTGGATGCCAAGGGGTACACACAGCTGGTGCACATGTACACGAGCATGGGCCATGAGTAGCTGTCATTCTGGATGTCTGTCATATACAATGCAGTCACGAACCTCCACACAAAGAACCTAGAACAGAATATGCACCCACTCAATCCCCTCTCGATTGTTTTCTGCCTTCCACCCCACTGAGAGATGGCCCATCCAGTGACTCTTCACTTAAATAAAATAACATGTGCTAGAGAGGCTACGGTGGGGGGTGCCTTTTTGACTCAAGCAGTGAGTTGGGAACAGACAAGTAGGGTAAGAAGACAGTCCTTAGAGATAGGATCCTACCTACAGCATCTTGCCCAAGACGTTCTCCAGTCTCAGCCTACATACCCCTAAAAATGAGGGTCTTATCCCCTTTCCTGGTAGCTCTGAGTGTTGGGAAGCCATCCTAAGTCATATTTACCTGGCTGACAACCATATGTGAGTTCTGCATGCACAACACCTCCCTTCCACAAACCAATACTGGGGAGCTAGGTCCCTTTCCCACAGTGTCCATCAAGAAAGGGACTCTACAAATCTCTTCACCCAGTAACTGAAGGAGGGTCACAAAGCCTTCTGGCTACTAGTGTGGTCTTTCTCCTATGGTCTAGCAAGGGTGGGGACACTTTAGCTGTTTGCTGTACCCCCAAATTTTTCTTTTGTCAACAAGATTATTCCTCATCCTATTTGCTTGAGGTATCTTACTGCAGATTTTCTGGGTTCTCCATAATGCTCTGCACTGTTGGAGTGGATCATCTGAGAGCCCGGCCTGGCACCAGGAGCTGTGAGCAGCGTAGACTGCTCAGCTGTGCATGGAAGTCGAGATACACAAGCAATGACAGGCATTACATAGTGGCACAGATCTCAAAGCAATCTAAACTTAGACAGGCATAAGGGCACATGGACTTTGATTGTAGAGAAAGGAGGATTGTCCTTGATAATATGGAGAGTTCAAGGCTAGCCTAGGCTACTTGAGACCCTGTCTCAAAAAAACTAAACCAAGGTAACGAAAAAGCCTAAAGCAAAGCCAGGCGTTGGTGGTGCACGCCTTTAATCCCAGCACTCGGGAGGCAGAGGCAGCAGATCTCTGTGAGTTCGAGGCCAGCCTGGTCTACAGAGTGAGTTCCAGGACAGTCTCCAAAACAATACAGGGAAACCCTGTCTCAAAAGCAAAAAACAAAACAAACAAACAAACAAAAAACCTAAGCAAACTAGGGCCCATCCTTTAGTCAGAACACCTGTTCAGAAGCTTTGGCGTCTCAGGCACAGATATTATCTTCGAGGGAGATGAGCAATGGGAAAAACATGGGAGAAAGGACAGGGGTCTGCGACACATATGCCACAGTCAAGGCTTTCTGGGAAATGGGCACAGAAACGGGGGCCCCAGCAGCTCCAGGGATGAGAATGAGGGGCAGAGGAGCAGTCTGGATCTATTCCCTTCTGCAGTCTTCAGTTTATCAGCATATACAGCTTGTTGTTGATATTGCTGTGAAACGGGGCCCCAGTGTGTGGCCAGGGCTGACCCTCAAAGTCATAATTTTTCTGCCTCAACTTTCCAAGTACTGGGATTACAGGCAGAGTAGTTACTTTGCCTCAGGTAAGGAATCTGTGGATGATTTAAAGTGCAGAGAGATATGTAAATACTGTGCCACCTGATGCATGTAGAACCTACACATTCTGGCATCTTTAGGGGACCCTGGAACTAATCCCCCCATATACTCAGGGACAGTGGAGATTTGGAGATGTGATGTCTCACCGCTCCATTACCAAGCAAAGGCTTGGGGTGTGTAAAGTTGGTCTTCACCCCACTTTTCTTAGCAAGGAGCCTTTTGGCTTTCCCGGAACCCCCATTCTGCACCCTTACTTTCTGGAGCTTGGCTTCTAGTTGGCTCCATTAAAGTTAATTAATGGTATATGGCTACTGTAATCCCTGGAAAACTACAAGCACCCACAACTGGACCTATGTCTTTTTTGTTGTTTTTTCAGAGAGGGTCTTATGTAGCTCAGGCTGACCTCAAACTCACTATGCAGATGAAGATGACTTTGAACTCCTCCAGCCTCTACCTCCAGACTCCTGAGATTATAGTGTGAGGCTTCTGGGCCTGGCTTATGCAGCACTAGGGATTGGGACCAGAGCTTGTTGCAAACATACTACAATCTGAGCTACATCTCCATCTCCTGTGTCTTTGTCTTTATCGGGCCTTCTCTCAGTTCTCACAGCAGCCCCAAGACACAGACAGAGGATCATGCCTGCTCTACAGGCAGAAAATGCCTGGCTTGGAGAGATTAAGTGACTTGCTCAAGTTAGTGACATTTTAATAAAGACTTCTTGAAGACCGGCAAAGCCTGTAAGACTGAAGGGGATGAAGATAAATGCTACCCAGTCAATAGAAACCCCAGACTCCTACGGCAATCCACAGCCTGGTGCTTAGTCCATGACTGTCTCAGCATCGCCCCCCCCCCGTCATACATGCACCTGCATCCGCGGGGGGGGGGGGCCCTGGTCCTAGCATAAGATCTCCCTGCCTCCCAGCTGTGCCTTATGAAGTCTAGTTCCCAGGGATCCCAAATGAGATAGGCTGTCCAGGGGGCCAAAGATACCAGAAGGGTAATAGATGCGTCCAGATGTTGAGGGTCTCATTGGTCATTTGGAAAAGGCTGAGGACACAGGCAGTGGCGGAACTCTGTGGGTGTCGGTAGCCAAAGAGGATGCCCTGCTCATGGAACACCTGTGGAGTAAAGACAAGGTGAGACAAAGGGAAGGGTGTCCCTGGCTAGCACCAAGTTTCCTGGGTGACCGAGCAGTTCCTTGTCCCGGTCCTCTCCCTTCCTGTCTTTGTCCACTCTGCCCAGTTGCTTCTAAGATCCTCTGTCCTCTAAGAAGTCCCTGGCCAGTTGGGCTCCAAGGGCCAGGCTGGCTTTGGGAGTGCAGTCTGGCTTTGCATTCCCAGCTATTCTTACCCTTGTCATGAATGTTGTCTAAGAGTCCGTGTTTGCACTCTGCCTGAGGCCTATGGCCCGGTCTTTAGATGTCTTTGTGGTTGGCTTGCATGTATGATGTCTGCCTGAGCCAGCCTGCCCTGGATGTCAGAGGCTGGTAGGGCAATCTCTGCAGAAGAGCTTCTGGGTGGGATGATGTATTCACAAGGCGCTTCATAAAGGCCTTTTGATGATGAGGTCAATGATGCTAACACCTGGACTGTGGGAAGAGGAGGCTGGCTACAGCAGGGCCATTGAGCCACAGTCCCCAGGAGGCCACCTGGAAAGCACTGCTCTTTTTCCCCCCAACATCTTCAGTAAGAAACAGGCTGGCTGGGTAAGAAAGACCTGGGGTGTTGACTTGTCTGAAGTATTATGTTATATCCATTAAAAATGGCAACCGAAGGGCTAGGAGATGACTCAATGGGTGAAGGGTCTGTAGTGCAATCACGAGAACCTGAGTTTGGATTTCAAACACCAGGGTAAAGTACCAAGCATGGGAAGCAGTGAGGACCTGTCATTCCAATGCTGGAGGGGTGGAGACATAAGAATCCTCGGCAGTTGCTAGTCAGCTATTTTAGCCAATTGGTGAGCTCTAGGTTTAGTACGAGACCCTGTCTCAAAGAATGCAGTGGCAGTTGAGTGTGGTAGCGCATGCCTCAGGAGGCAGAGTCAGGCAGATCTCTGTGGGTTCAAGGCCAGCATGGTCCATGTAGCAAGCTCCAGGCCAGCCAAGGCTACATAGTGAGACCCTGCCTCAATAAATAGATAGACAAGGTGGTGAAGCAATGGGAAAGATGACCAGTGTCGACCTCTGACCTGCAGGTAAACACACATGCACTCATACACACAATAACTGACAAAACATTGGGCAAGTGAAGGAAAGTAGAGTACAGTTTCGCCATGGCTACGGAAATACATACTCAGCGGGGTGGTGATTGGAAGAACACAGAAAAGAAAAAGGCTCCATTTGTTGAGCTAGTTGGATAACACGAAATGATTCTTCTCTTTTGGGTTGCTTGGCTCAAGGTTTCTTCACGCTTCTGGCATCTGGGGCCAGATGGCTCCTTGCTGTGGGAGACTGGCCTGTTGTGTTTCCACACTGTCTACCAGCCACCTGCTAGAAGCGCTTTAAGTACAAACTCCTTCCCGTGCCAAGTTATGACAACCCCAAATGTCTCCAAATATTGGAACGGTCTCTTGGAGGTGACGTCTAATTCTGGTTATGAACACTGATTTTGTTTGTTTTGTGACAAAGGCTCACTCTGTATAGCTCAGGCTGACCTCAAGCTCTTGGCAGTCCTCCTGCTTCAGCCTCCCAAATGCTGAGATTACATGTGTAAGTCACCATGCCTGGCTAGAACCGCTGATTTCAACGGTTCAAAGACTGCCATAACCTTTGGAAGGTAAATTATAGCTAGTGAGGTGACTTCATCGGTAAAGGTGTTTACTGCCAAGTCTTACGACCTGAGTTCAATTCCCAAACCCACATTGTGGAAGGAGAGAGCTGTCTCCTGTAAGTTGTCTTCTGACATCCACACATGCCTGAACAAGCACATACACCATACTCTCTCTCTCTCTCTCTCTCTCTCTCTCTCTCTCTCTCTCTCTCATTATACAGGTGGGTTGACAGAAGCAAATTATTACAGTGTTGCTTGGTGTCTAGTCCCCACAATGGAAATCAGGTTACACACTTTCTAAAGTTTTCCCTTTGCTTTCTTGTGGGAAGAGGGGACAGCTGCCCCACTGGCTTAGCAAGCAGGAAGCCTTGGGTTTTATCCACAACATTGAAAATAAAAGCAAGGCACTGTGCCGGTCCCACCTGTCTCTGTCCCAATCAAGAGTCCCTACAGAACTATAAAGAAAGTAAGGAAAAACTCATGTTCAGAAGCCAGGCCTGGTTGGCACATGCATGAAATCTTAGCACTTGGGAGACTGAGGCAGGGGCATCTCTACAAGTCCAAGGCCAAACTGGCATACATAGCAAGACTTCATCTCAAAAGGAGAAGAACCCCACTGATGGCCCTGTGGTACCATGGGACCTATGAAATGGGACAGAGGCGACCTGCACGGTAGGTGTTACAGTTTCCTTTCTCCTGCTGTATAAACTGCTCTAACCAAAAGCAATTAGAAAAAGAAAGATTTGTTTTATAACCCCGGTTCACAGTCCATCACGGAGCGAAGTCAAAGAGGAAGCTCAAGGCAGGCCTGCTCGCTCTTCCACACATCATTAGCTCCAGCCCAGAAACTCATTTCACAGCCAAGAAATACGGCGGGAACCACGGAGAATGCTGCTTGCTAACTAGCTTGCTCACAGGCTCAGGCTCAACTAGCTTTCTTAGGTAGCTCTTAGATTGCCCAGGATCACCTGCCCAGGGAATGGTGCCACTCACAGTGGGCGGGGCCCTCCTATATCCACTAACAGTCAAGACAGTCCCCCACAGACATGCCCATAGGACAATCTGATCTAGGCAGGTCCTTGGTTGGGGCTCACCTCTCAGATGACTGTAGGCTTTGTCAAGTTGACAGTGAAGACTAACCAGGGAAGCGGATGTGTAGCTTTCTGGAGTTAGCTACAAATTTCAGAAAATATTAATTCAATGCTGGGTAAACTGGTGAGGCAGTGGGAGGGAGGAGAGAGTTGATTTATGGTCTCGAAAAGAAATACACTCTGGGGGCTGGCGAGATTACTCATCAGTTAACAGCACTTGCTGCTCTTGCACAAGACGTGGGTTCACTTTCCAGAACACACACAATGGCTCATAACCACATAACCACTTGTAATTCTAGTTCCAGGGGATTTGACACCCTCTTTTTTGCTTCCTTGGGCACCATACACACAATCTGACTGGAGGCAAGTGAGAGGGGGAAGTTGAGGGTGGATAGGATCAAGATACATTGTATATATGTATTAAATTGTCAAATAAAAGATGCAAATTCATATATAAGAAATCAGTACATGTAATTTTTTAAAAATACAATATTAGGTTGGGCCCTTACCTAATGAAAGTGATTGGCTTCTAAATTTTTTTTTTTTTTCGAAACAGGGTTTCTCTGTATCGTTTTGGAGGCTGTCCTGGAACTCGCTCTGTAGACCAGGCTGGCCTCGAACTCACAGAGATCTGCCTGCCTCTGCCTCCCAAGTGCTGGGATTAAAGGCGTGCGCCACCAACGCCCGGCTGATTGGCTTCTAAATTTAAGAAGGAATTAATCTTAATATTCTATCTTTTGGGGAAAGGATCTTGTGTAGCCCAGGCTGGCCTTGGACTAGATACACAGAATGACCGTGAACTTCTGACCCTCCTGCCTTCACCTCCAAGATGCTGAGATCATGGCATGCACCACCACACCCAGTTTGTGGGGTTCTGGAATGAAACCTAGTACTTCTGGCATGCTAGGCAAGGACTCTACTGCTCCAGCTACATCCCAGCCCTTGTTCCAGTCTTGAATTCACCAATCTGCTGATGTGCCTGGCTCACAGGGAACAGACTCCTACAGGCTGCACTTTCCAGAAGCAACCGTCTTCTGATTTTGATGCATGTGAAACAGGCTGTCTCTAGTTTAGGGACATTTGGAAGGTCCTCCCTCAGAAAAAGTGGTTCCCAGGGGCTTCTCATTGCTCCATTACACTTCTTTTCAAGTGTTTGGCTTTGTTTTGTTTTCTTTCCTACTTAAAAAAAATCCAGTGTGGGGGTTGCTGGGAAGATGGCTCAGAATTAAGAGCACTTGCAGAGGACCTGGGCTCCATTCCCAGAACCCACATGTCAACTCATAACTATCTGTTAACTCCAGTTCTAGGGGAATTCAGCACCCTCTTCCAGGCTCTTTGGGTACTGCACACACTTGGTACATATACATACACGCAAGCAAAATGTTCATGCATACAAAATAAATCTTTTAAAGGTTCTGAAGTGAACTAAAGTGCTAGATACTTATTAAAATGCAAAGTCTCCAGAAAGGAGCATGTTTAATTAATTATTTGCTCTTTTGTGTGAATTAACTAAGCAGATCCTTGCTTTAAATCATTGTGTAGCACCCACAGGGAATACTTAATTCAGGGCCAATGTGATCACTGTAACATAGGCAAATGAAGTCTATAACCAAGGAGCACATTGAGGGCTAGCCGATGGAAAATCCCTAAGTGGTAAGATGAGCCGGGCTAAACCAACCTGACAAGATTCTTGCTGAAGACAAGCCAGAAAGGTTGACTCTATCTGGAAGAGTGGGAGACAAAGGAGCTGAGCTGATATCAAGGGTGGTGACATGTCAAGGAGTGAGGCTTCTGGCTAACCAAAAGAGGTCACTCACAAACTGCCGGGCGACTCAGCACACCACCACCAACTACTCTCCTCTTTGTGGGTCCTGGCATTCTGGCCAGCACAGGTGGAAACAGTCAAAAGCCTGAGCGAAGAGCAGGGATATTGTTCCTCTTGACCACATCTGAGATTCTGGTCCCAGCGTCAGGTTGTAGCTCAGTGGGTAGAGAGACTGCTTGGCCAGCACAAAGCCCTGGGTTTGTTCCTTGGTGTGGCATAAACCAGCCAGGGTGGCGCATGCCTGTAATCCCAGCACTCAGGAGGTGGCAGCAGAAGGATCAGGAGTTTAAAAGTCATTCTTAGCTACCTATGGCATTCAAGGCCAGCCTGGGCTGCATGTCTCTATCTAAAAGGAGGAGGAGGAAGAGGAGGAGGAGGAGGAGGAAGAAGAGGAGGAGGAGGATCTGGTCCCAAATCTGAGGGTGGGAGGTCTT